CAAATTGTAAGGTATTCAAGTAAAACCAAATAAGGTTGAAAGATTGGGATGGTTTTCCACATATTAGCAGTGGGTAATTTTCAATGTAATCTGTCATTTCAACAATATCTGTCCTAATTTCATGTCTACCTCAACAACAGTTTGCTCTAATGTAGTAGGCAAATGGAACCCTAATACAGTTAAAGATATTAAGGCCAGATTAATTTAAATATTAAAAAAATCATATTTGACTGCTATATAATAAGCAGTTATTAAGAGATAATACCAATTTCAGACTCATCTGATCCTATATCAATATGTATGTAATTGTGGCTGAGGCTGACCTTATTTACCTCTGTCGCACGAACATGGCAGCTATCGAGCAGAGTTCCTTGCTACTTAGCAGTGAGACACATTTCTCAAAGTCTTTGGGTTAACTATATTTTCAGTGCACATGTAATTGGTCTGCATGTCAGGCAGTGACTTGGCAAGAAGCCATAGGTGAGCTGTCAGGCACATATGCAAAGTGGGGTCCTTTGTCTGCAGTTGTAGACCCGGAGTGGATAAAGGACAATTTGGACAGTATGTTATTGTGGAGGAATTGGGAAGATGTTTTTTTTTTTTTAAAGATTTTATTATTTCATTTTTCTCCCCAAAGCCCCCCGGTACATAGTTGTATATTCTTCGTTGTGGGTTCTTCTAGTTGTGGCATGTGGGACGCTGCCTCAGCGTGGTCTGATGAGCAGTGCCATGTCCGTGCCCAGGATTCGAACTAACGAAACACTGGGCTGCCTGCAGCGGAGCGCGCGAACTTAACCACTCGGCCACGGGGCCAGCCCTGGGAAGATGTTTTTTAATCCTGAATTTTACCTAGATTTCTGATGTCCACTAGCACAGAAAAACCAGCTAATGAGTAGGCCACTGGTGTAATTTTTTTTGTACTTAAAGTAAAATGTAAAATGTCAGGCAACTATCCATGACTTTCTCTGGGGAAAGAGAACAGCTAATGATTAGTCTTCTGTTTACAATTAAAGTCTGATTTCTTTTCCTAATTTTAGTTGACTTGCTATTGGTCCTCTGGACTCCTTATAGGCCTCGTGGATTCTAAATAGATTCTACTTTGACTCCCAATTACCATGCAATTAAAGGACCTCCAAATGCTGCCCTTTAATTTTGTTTAGACTCATTTTCTCCAGGCTTTTATTCTGCAATCTACTTTCAGTTACCCTATCAGTTCTTTATAAATTTGTATTTGTTTTTTTAATGATACACCCCCCTCAGTTTTCCAATATAGCCCTTCTTTATTTGGAGAAACAACCTAAGAAAATCACAAAATGGCTGCATAAACTTTGGTGGAAACAAGTGGTATGAGAATGGACTGAATCAGGAGAGGACCAGCTAAAGAATCCGGGTTTGGTAACTAGTGCTAGCCCTGGAACGAGGGGTGAAGAACTTGATCCCTTTGCCTCCTAACTTAGCCTCCTAGGTTTAACTAAAGAGAGAGACCTTGTGTTTGTTTTCAAAAGTAAGGGCCTGTTTTGTACACTCTCCTGGAGTCTGTGCATGACTAGTCATTTTGAGCCAGCCCACTACTTTCTCCCCTTCCTGATGAAGTCAGGTGGCTGAGTAATGGACAGGCAATCCCTATCCATTCATCATTCAAGGTATAGTCCTGAGGTTCTTTACAAAAACCCTCTCTTGCAGGGCCAGATACTCTGAGCCTTCCTAGGTGATGGTTAGCTAAGCTGATAATGGGAGAAAATTAGGGGAGACTTCCCATGGCAGGCAGGCCACAAATATACATACTAACTGATCTTTAAGGGGCCGTGCCCAAACCCCCAAAGGATCACTCAAATAGTGGCTAATTGAGGCTTTTTCTGAAAGCAGTCTAAAAAGTGACTTCAATATTGGGGATTTGAGGAGGGCAGAACACCTGTACCTGATGGGGCCTCTCAAATCACACTTGGTCTCCTCTGCTTCATAGAGTGGTGGCTCTAGACCCAAAGATCTTCAAAGGTCTGAAAGGCTATAGCTAGAAGCCAGGGTATGAGTCCTTCGTGAAGATCAGCACGGTAAGCACTGATCACCCTCAGGCCTTGCAAAAAGTGCTGAGTTACTTTTCCTTCCACTTTCTCTTGATGATTCAGGAGGGTGGAGGAGAAAAGTCACTGATATGGGTTACCCCAACTCATAAATAATTGAAAGAATACGGAATGCAAATTCAAATTCATTTCATTTCATAACAACCCCACTTAAACAGCTCATTCAACTGTGTATGCCAGTAAATGGAGTGGAATTGGAACTGACAGGAGGGGTTTCTCTTGATGGTGCTTGAATATGAGGACTGAGATGCAGAAATGCTTCCTGGTGCAAAACAAAGAATTCAGCAAATGAAGGCAGTCATTTTGAACTAGCCCACTTCTTTCTCCCCTTCCTGATGAAGCACCTAATGAAATGTGAAGTGGTCCAGGAACTGGAGGCAGAAAAATACCTAAGTGGAATAATGGAGAGAGGTGGTTGCTATAAAAATGGGTCCAGGCTGATCGGTGAAGGTGTAAAACGTACTTCCGGGCTGGGGATAAGCAAAAAGCAAGGCTCGTGATCTGAGAAGGAGGAAAATAGCCTGTAGGGACGGCATCTTTCAATCACTAATGTCTTCTGAGATTTAAGAACGAGACAGTTCCAAATCAGGTAATAGCAGATGCAAATGTGATGGCATTTTAAAATATTAGCTGATGTTTTTCTCTTTCTTTCTCCCCTGCTATTATCTCCCCTTTCCCTCTACTGCCCCACTCAATTAACTAAGTCCTCTGGAGTCGTTGCCTCAAGGGAGGGAAGTGACAAGATGTCAATGAGAAAGAGGGAGTGGATTTGGTTTCTAAACTCTAAACCTTGGGAAGCACTGAGAAGATTTGGGATATAGGTAGAGTTTGGTAGAACAGGGTTTGAGGAGAGAGGGCTTTCTTTTGGACCAGGGAAAGAGTCTCTTGGGCCAGGGAGTGGGGGCAACTGCTTGGGGAAGGGATGAGAGCAGAGACATTGGTGGGTGCGGGAGGGAGGGCTCTGTGCCCTGCTTCTTGGGCCGTACCAGAGGCAGGTGGCGAGATTGCCAGCCCTCAGAAACTATGCGCAGCTTTGCAGAGATTCCTGAGCCACAAGTGGCACCCAAAGAGCAAAGGGCTCCTGTGCCCCAGCAAGTGCTGCGGCAGCTGTGGGGAGAGCCAGTGTGCCCGAGAGGGCACAAAGGAATAAAGAACAGCCACTTCCTGGCTTCCTATAAGGACCAAGCGTGTTCGCACTGTGTGAGGCCGCCTTAGAATTTGAACAAAAGCCTGGGGAAAGAAGGTGGATTCCAAACTGAGTGGGAGTGAGTTTCTACCACCCCGGAAGAAAGTGGCATAATATAGAAATTAAGTGAATTAACATAAAAAATAGTTTTTGAAGATAAAGTGCTATAAACCACAATTTGTACTTGCCATGAGTGGTGCAGGATCCCGGATTTCTAAGTCTCCCAAAAGAACGCATGGGAGACTGATTATAATCCCTCGAACTGGAGGACAGCCATTTTGAGGCAAAGGCTATGACCCTGGTGGGGAGTTAGTGGGCAGAGATGACCGGACACTTGGAAGTAACCATGGAGTTTGAAAATACGGGCAGATTGTGAGGAAACTGAGTTTAAGTGTCTCACAGACTGCTTTAACCACCATGGACAGAACCAGAAAATGTGGCAGAGGGAAGGAGGAGAGCAGCGGTTCTGGTGGGTAGAAAGCAGAAGGAGGGTGCCTTACTGGGATCCCCAGAAGAGATTAAATTATTTGATTTGCAGGAGAATCTTTTAGAAAAGGAGTGAGGAGTGAACTTAATGGCTCCAGCTGAGTTCTTGACAATTAGGGCTGCTGGGAGCAATAGGTAAGCCCCAAATGACACTTCTCAGGCTTTTTTCTTCTTTTTTTGAGGAAAATTAGCCCTGAGCTAAGATCTGCCCTGAGCTAACATCTGCCACCAATCCTCCTCTTTTTGCGGAGGAAGATTGGCCCTGAGCTAACATCCGTGCCCATCTTCCTCTACTTTATATGTGGGATGCCTGCCACAGCATGGTTTGACAAGTGGTGCATGGGTCTACGCCCAGGATCTGAACTGGCGAACCACAGGCCAGTGGAATGTGGGGATTTAACTGCTGCACCACTGGGTCAGTCCCTCTCAGGCTTTCTTTGAAAGGCAGATAAAATCCCTTTTTCCCATTTGTGTGGCCCAACACACAATGCACAAACAGGTTCATGACTTGCTGCAGCGGCCTGGGTCAGTGAGCTGACCGCCAGGTAAGTGAGGTAAGACATTTGCTCTGAAAAAGCGATCACCTGCTTGAGCCTGAGGAAGCTAGCACCTGCACTACCATGGGATAATTTGCTTGAGAGAATTACTATTCTGAAAAACTAGATTTGGGACGGAGACCCAGTTTGCTGGGGGCACCTGGGAGAAGAGTAAGTTTTCTTTGCAAGAATGCAGAGATTTATCAGAACAACAAATGTGGTGAGAAAATAGTTTTGCCCCAGTGTTTATTTTTTTCTTTGTCTTTTCCACCTGGCAGTCCTTCCCCATCTGTCATAGACTCTGGTCTCCGGTTTTGTGTTTCCAAAGCTTAAATCAATGCTAAACCTAGCATGAGCAAAGTTTTCATCATGGAGGCAATGCTGCTGATTAAGATGGGGCAGAATTTCCTCCAAAAGCGTCCCTACAGGACTCCTCCGGGCTGCTTAGCAAGGAAAAAAGGGGAGTGAAAAAGTGAAAGCGTAATTTTAGTAGGGGGAGGAGGTGTCCTCTGAGACCCAAAGGAGAAGGATGGAGGAGGCCTTAAATGTTTTACACATCCTTTGGGATGTGAGAAGCGGTGCTGGCAGCAGGGGCAACTTTGTCTGGGTTTGAACTGGTCCAACCTGGCAATGCCAGTGTCTCTGCGTACCCTTTCTGGTCTTGTGGTGTGTAGGCTGCCGATTGATGTTCTGAATGATCCTCTTGCCTTTGGCTTTAGAACTTCAGCCTCCTCTAGTTGTTAAATGGAATAGCTCCCTTTTGTTTTGTCTCATTGTGTTGCAAGGTTCTAAGCAGCATCTAAGGGATGATGAAAAGTGCACGGGCTCCCCCTTACTCTTTTCTCTGGCTTAGGATGGTGCCTATTATTCACTCATCTAAAGGACAGTTATTGAGGGCCTCCTTGTGTACCAAGCACTTGTTGAGAGCTGGAAATCAGGAGGAAGCCGCCTCACTGCCTGATGGAGAACACAGAATAAAGACTGTGAATCACAGTCCAGTGTGACAAGCGCTGGGGACAGATGGGCGCACTGGGGGCGGAGGGTGTGGTTCAGCCTTTAGGGGCCTGGAGGGGCTTCCCAGCTGGAGAAGCTTCCCAATTGCTTTGAACTTTTTTTTAAGGAGGTGATTTTTGCAAGAGAATCATAGAGGTATCCACTTACCAAGTTGACGTCAGTGAGAGGCTGGATCAATCCCCAGAACTTCCTATCTCAGACTTCTTGTCATTTGAGGTAATTGAATGTGTTTATTGCTTGGACAATGTTAGATTTTCTGTAGCTTTCCACCAAAAGCAATCCTGACTGATACAATGTTGTTTGCCAATTTTCGATTTAAAGCATGTTGAGGAAAAAGTTGAAATTCTGCAATATTTTGGGCATAATTACTAGTCTTTTTCACTTGCATTGTGATTTATGCAAGGAGAAAAAGAGGTGGGTTCTTAACTCCAGGAAAATAGGAGCAGACTATTCTTCATTTCTTTCTCTCCTCTCTTCCCGCTCCCCCTGGCCCCCCATCCCGCTCTCCCTCTCCCCTTTTTTGCTATTTGAATTATTTAAAATAATCAGTGGGTTAAATATTACATTGTTGAATTAATTTCAATTCATTTTCATATAACAAATGAACAATGAATAAATAAAGTTTCCTATAACAAGCAAATAAACATACTTATTAATCTCAAGGTTAGAGGTTATGTCACAATAAAATATTGTTCAGAAATGAGAACCTCACAGAAGGGCTTCTTGCAAATGACCTATCCAGGGTTCAATTTTATAATGACAAGAACTGATGAAGTATAAAGATGATAAGAAAGAACCTTCACTTCAATCTGGGTAGTATTTATATTCTTAGTTTCTCTCTTTGAGTTTTAAATACCCTGCAGTTTTTTCCTTATCTTTATCTCAGTCTTAAATATAAGTACCTGAGTTTTAGGTATAAGTCTCTGTGTTTTAAATATAAGTATCTGAGTTTTAACTATCCTGCAGTTTTTTTCCTTATCTTTATAATAAAACATTAAAGCCTTGCTCAGTGATTTCTTTTCCCAATATTCCTGCTATTGAAAGCTCATGACCTCTGATTTTAACTTTAACTAAGGCTAAGTTTAAGAAATTGGGGCTTGTAATTTTTTGGATCTTCCGGTATGATCTTTCTCTCAGTGATTTGCGAAGGGGCTTTGCGTATTAAAATGTTAGCCCTTTGTCATATGTGTTGCAAACGTTTTCCTCTATGTTTTATTTGTATTTTAACCTTGCAATGATTTTTGCTTTAGGGCATTTTTATGTTATCAGATGTACAATTGTTTGATTGTAAATAAAATCTTTTGATTTTATCATTTCTGGCTTTTACAGAAGTTTAAAGAGGCTTCCTTCAAACCAGGATCATAAAAATAGTTATCCATATTTTCTTCTATTAATTTCAAGCCTTCAAGATAACTTTTAAATTGTTGATCCGTCTGGAATTTATTTTGGTATAAAAGTAAGGTAGGTGTACAAGCATACTTATTTGGGAAATAGCTAATCTATTGTTTTAATAAAATTTACTGAGTATATCTTTCTCTACTGCTTGGAAATGCCAACTTGATGACACGCTAAATTTTCACATCTCCTTGATTCTATTTGTGGAATTTCTATTTGATTTCACTCATCTGTCCGTCTACATACTCATGCCAGTATCGTTTTAAAAATGACTATGTCTTCAAAGACTTTGTAATGATTGGTAAGACAAGTTCTTACACATTATTCTACTTTTTAAGGAATGTCTTGTCTCTTGTATTTTCATTCTTTCAGATTGATTTTTCAAAGCAGTACTTACTACACCAGGCATTTTATTTATTTATTGTTGTTTTTTTCTGTATTGATTTTTCAGGAAAACAAATTACAAAAGTAACCTATGCTTGCTATAACAAAGTCAAACAATACAGACATGTGGAGAATAAGCCTTGACAACCTCTCTCTCTTCCCCTTTAACAACACATCCCAGAGGAAACTCCAATCAGCTGCTTGTTGAGCGTCCATCCTTTCAGATGTTCTCCCATTCTTATGCATAAAAGCGTTTCATGAAGAAGAGCTACCAAAATATCAGTGACATTTTGACTAGGATTTCAATAAATATTTGTAAAGATGTATTTTCCTTAACATTTCTGGCTTCCAAATCATGTAATGCCTCAGCATTTCAGGTTTTTTTAATGTGTATACCAGTATAACACCACTCATGTACATCACAGAAACTGCGTGGGGCGGTTAAGGACAAGAAAACACGTTTCAAATGGACCTTGTCAGGGCATTTCTCAAAGTAGGTTCTATAATACATAGATCCTGCAAGATGCTCTGCAAAGAAAATACGGGTTCTCTGGGCAAATGAGTTTGGGAGACACTAGGTGGTATATCTTCCTTTTGGATATTTGCAATGCAGGGCAACTTATTAGAAACTCTAAGTCCTATAATAAAGATTTAACTTTGTCTGCTCCAGTATTTTCAAAACTTATTTGATCAGGGAAACTATTTTACCTATTGATGGGATAGGTCATTTGGGAAATGCTGAGTTACGTAGATTGACCCAGCTGTTGGTAAAGAACCTAGAAAAGCTCCAGGTCCCTGGCTTTGATAAATGGGTGGTTGGGGGGTCACGGACTGAGATGAAAAATACAAGTGGAGGATCAGTTTTGGACACACTGAGTTTTGATGCCTCCGGGAGGTTCGAGTGGAGATGTTTAGTAAGCTGAGAATACACAGATCTGGAACCCAGGTGAGAAGTCAGAGCCAGGGAATGGTGAGTTCGAAAGTTTGCTTTGGATTAAAGTGTGTTGTCTAAAAAGGCCCATTTTAAAATGCACATATATTACGTAGGAAGGGTAAGCATTAAATTATTAATATGGATTATATTATCATATTAGCTTACTATCATTTTAAAGCAGAGATCAGGCCCCGGAAGGAATGGAAATCAGGACTGGTGAGTTTTGAGAGGAGGGTCAGCAAAGAAATAATTCGAAGTGGTGATTTCCAACCTCTGAGAATCTGGGGCCTCTTTTTAATGCTAAAATTTTTTTTTCAGCCTCCCCATTGCCCCAGATATTCTACTTTTTATATTCTTTGATTGAGAAAATATGCCCTGACGAAAACTAGGATGGATTAACTTTGCGAGAAATTCGTACAAATTTAGTAAAATGTTTATTTATTCAACTTACTGACAGTGGCGCTGCATACGGATTTCTGATCCTCCTGTTACCCTGGGTTTCCAGGCTAACATGGATTTATGCCACCTGACTTTCAGCCTTGAGCAAACAGCGTTCTCCCAGTTATTCAGGCCTGTGTCAAATTCAAACAAGGAGAGGGAGAGAAAGATGCTAGTAGAAGTTTTAGTCAGTCATTTGATATCTTTTGCGTCTGGGTCTGTTTTGACCAAGACTGAGCTCCTTGCCTGGTTTCCCCATCAATAATTAGGTGACGTCAGAGAAACCTCACTGCCTCCTTTGCCTTGGCTATCAAAACGGGATAATAGCAATAGCTTTTCTCGCCTCCCAGGGCCCTGTGCAGAAGTCAGTAAGATAAATAGTTGTGAAAGTGAGTGGGGAGGTTAAAAGTCCTCTAAAATGTGAGGTATTTTCATGGCTGCATTTTAATATGGCTCACCACTAGGTGTCCTGCAGGTAGCAATTCCCCGGGAGGGGGTTTAATCATCCGGGCTCACCAGAGGGTGGACTCCATTTAACCCGCGTGTTCGAGTTGATTAGGTTATTGTGTATAGATGGCAGGAATTTCAAGCTCTACTCCATCTTTTTCCTTTTGATATAATTTTAATGAGATTTTCCCCATTCTTTTATTGCATGGCAGGCTACCGCTAGAATAAATATAAAGAAGTTCGAAAAAATGCAGAAAACAGGAGGGATGGAGAGATGGGAAAATGCAGGGGGTAAGGCAGGGGGTGAGGGTGAGAAGGTTGTTCTCAGATCTGCATGGGTTTCCTGACGACTTTAGAATTCCTGGGGGCACTTCCTGATGTGCCAGGCACTCTGAAAGATAAGAGAGGAGGCCCGACTAAGGCCGCTGAGAGAAATGTCTTTTTTAATCGTTTAAAGAGTGCCACATTCCTTCCAAGAAGCTTCATCACCAGGCCCAAGAATCCAGTGCTTTTCTTTGTATTATACAAGGAAAGTCTGCATAGTCCAGACTGCTCCCACACAATGGCCTCTAGTGTGTTTCTCTGAATGGGCAGTTGTGTGGGACACCCCAGGACATTTAAAATGATATGGGTGCACTGGAGGAGCAGATTTTTTATTAGACCAATCCAGGTAACACTTAAAAGCCATTTGTCCTGAATTAAGGTTGTTATTTTTCATTAATCGAGTCCCCTTCATTGAATACTAGTAACTGTCACTGACTAGTGTGTCACTAACTAGCAAATCATTTTATCACTAAAGCTTCATTCATTTTCCTCTCCTGGGAAGGAGTGTGTATGTGTGTGTGTGCATGTGTGCGTGTGCTGAGGTGAGGAGCAAGAGAAGTGTGAGTACCTGACATATGCCCGGCACACTTTTTAGTGATTTATTTCTGTGCAGAAGTGAGTATTTTTTGGGGCAGAACATTCTGGCCACTCGGAGAGATGGAGTAACTTGTTAAAGTCAATGGCTTAGAGTAGTTAGGCTAGAATTTGAACCCAAGTCTGATTCCAGGTCAAACTCTCACCATTAAGTAGAGTCCCTTTTGTTAAAGCATGACAGCCTGTCCCTGGGATTAAGGTACTGTGTTTTCTGGCATTTGGGAATTAATGTCTCTGTAAAGACAGCTTCTGATCTTATCTATGCCGAGAAGAGCATGGAGTAGAGTGTGGCCAAAGGAGTGGGCAAGGTCTGCCACCATAGATGTCATCATGACACAAGGAGACATAATTGACTTGGCTTGGGTGAGTCATATCAATTAGGACTGACAGTGGGTGGTGAGGAAACAATGTTTACAGTGTCACTGTCTGTTTTTCTTATTATTTGGGGACAACTTTAGTGATGTATTTTGGGACAGAAATTACTTACTGTAATTTGACTCTGCCAATTTTACTCACTGTTTACTTAGAGCATTTTATAGCTGCCAGCATTAGACCTCTATCATCAGCTTACATCCTCTTGAGGTGTTTGAGTACAAAGAATCCCATTCCCCTGGCTCCAAGCTCTCGATCAGTGGTTCTCAATTCTGACTGTACATTAGAATCCCCTGAGGGGCTGTTAAAAATACAGATGACTGGGCCCCATCCTAAGAGAGTCTGATTTAATTGGTCTAGGTGGGACCCTCACATTGGTATTTTTCAACAGCTCCCCAAGTGATCCTAATGAGCAGCCAAAATTGGGAACTACTGCTCTGGATGGTTGACTCATCCTACATAACCCATCAGCTGGAGTCTCTGTGGCTTCTGGGTCTGTGCAAGTACATTGGTACCTTTGTGTGGATTAGAAAAGGATGTCCGTCTGCCTGCACATGTTAGAAAAATGTGCTACTTCTTCTGGATAGACACAGCTCCATGGGCACATGGCTTGATGAGCTGAGTACACGGTCTTAACAACTCTGCAGGTCAGTCTTGGTGGCTTCCAACCTTAGGTTCCTCTTTGAGACTTCTGGTTTTACAGAGTTCCTCTTCTGAGGGTTTCTCCTGAGTCTGAGCATTAGGCAAATCTCATCTGTTAAAGAAATATATGGGGACATTTCTAAAATGGCAGTTTGAGGAGCTCCACTGAACTTCTCCTCAGCTATACAACTCTAACTCATGAAAAATTTGAAAAATAACCATTTAAAGTTTTCAGAAATTGTCCTAAGGGCATACAGCAAATGGAGAAACATTTATTTAAGACAATCTACTAAATCTCTGTAATAACAATGAGTCTATGGCATTTGAACCACAGGTCATCCCTCTCCCTCCTAGATCAGAGTGACGGAATCTCTATTCCAGGTGAATGTGGCCAAGAAGGGCTTCCACTCTCCCAGTTCCCAGTCTAGGGCTACAGTTTCTTCCCTGGAGAAGCAAGTAGCCAGAACTTCTCATTCCCAAGCACCAGCTTCAGGTTGCAAAATCTCTATCCCGGGCAGGTCAAGAATATGGAGGCCTTCACCCCAGCTCATTCACAGGGTTCCATGTCAGGAGAAGCAAGCCAAAAAGACCAGGGCTACTGTTCTCCCCCAATGCACCACTCACAAAGCAAGGATGTCACTGCAAGAGAAGCATGCCCCTGTCCCAGTGCCCAGCTCCAGTGTTGGCACAGAGGTTTTACCAGAGAGGCAGAGTGTAAGAACAGAGAGCTCCATAAGGGCATTGATTTTATTTGGAATAGAGTATGGTAAAGTTCAAACCTAAGGGTGCTATCGAAAACAATGGGGATTTTGGTAGTAAGCAATTGTGAGGATGTTGGTAACTTCATGATAGTAACAAGCTAAACTGTAGAATAGCTAGAAGCATAACTGAAAGAATTAGAAAAGAGACAGCTAAGAAGAGCTCTCCTGGGATTGGAACAATCTTCAAAAACTAGATTCAAAGACTGTCCCTGCAAAGAGGTCTGAACTTAATTGAATTGGACTATGGAGCAATTTGTGGCATAGGACATTGCTGAAAACAATAGAGAAATGAGCTAGCAATTTGTAGAGGCTAATAGCTTGGTGCCAATAGAGGCAGATCAACAGGGAGCTAAAAAGGAGATCAAAGAATGAGACAATCAAAGAGAGTCCTGGTAAAACAACTGTCACTTCAGGGTGACTGTAAGTGTGTCCACACTGCACCCTCTGAGAAATGATTTTAGAAGCTGCATACTGTGAGGGAAATTGACTTTGTAGGAATAGTCCAGTCAAGTCACTGAACATATAAACAAGCAAACAACAATTAAAAACAAGACCCAGAGAGGTCATGATGGTGAATCAGTATGCAGAGTTGCTACAATCTATGATCTAAAATGTCCAGTTTTCAAGAAAAACTCAGAAAACATGCAGAGAAACAGGAACGTGTGATTTGTATGCAAGAAAAAGAGCAGGCAACAGAAATAGCCTTTGAGAGGACCCCGATGTTGGACTTGGCAATGACTTTGACTCAACTATTATAAATATGTTTAAAGAACTAAAGGAAATGGCACTTAAAGAAGTAATGGAAAGTGTGATGACAAGGTGTTATCAGATAGGAAATTTCAATAGAAATTATGTAAAAAGAATCAAATAGAAATTCTGGAGTTGGAAAGTACAATAACCAAAATGAAAAATTCACTAGAGGAGCTTAACAGTAGATTTGAGATGGCAGAAGAAAGAATCAGTGAACTTAAAGATGAATTGATAGAGATTATGCAGTCCGAAGAGCAGAGATAAAAGAACAAGTAATAATGAACTGAGCCTCAGAGAAATGTGGACACTGTTAAGCATACTAACATATGCAAAATGGGAAGTACCAGAAGGAGAGGCAAAGAGAAAGGAGCATATCAAAAAACGTATTTAAAAAA